ATCCAGAACAAATAGATTCAAAACCCAAAACCATCCCATCAAGGTGGTCTAACCTTTAATCCTCATCTTTCCATCATGAATGGATGTTCACCTAAATTTATATCTCTATAACCAAAACTTAACCAGAAGCAGAAGTTCTGACTTTTCCATTAGACCACAGATAAACAGTTCAGAAGCAGCTTCTAATCCAATATGGGAGAATTTCCCCCTGGTTGATCTCTGAAGGGTTTTTAGAACTTATTAAAGCAGAGAAACGACCCTGATGAAACCGACTGTAGACTCCAACAAATGCAGCATTTTCAGGCATTTTCTCCAAGCATCCATTGTCTACAGTTATCACTGCTGTTAGCTTTAGCTTCTCCCTGTGTGTTTTCCTCTTCTCTTGGTTAAATTGACACCTCTCTCAGTGTTTCTGTGTTTAAATGTCACAGACTAGTGTGATCTCTCACTAACTCCTGTTCTTCTCTTCCAGCAGATTTCTTCCGTCATCTCCTCGTTGGACCGGCACCTCTTGGACGTCTGCTGTCCTGTTAAAGACCCGCTCTGCCGCAGTAGATGGGCGCTGACATGGAGCCGGGTTCTGCTGGAGGATCCTTCCTGCTTCAAGCTAGTTTTCCTCTCTACTATCAGCACTTCATTCCTCAGAAGGATGCTACAAGATTAATGACTGGATGCGGTTGGCTGAGCTTCCTTGGATTTAAGACATTTCTCTAAATGCCAAAATAGACTTAAATTATCTTCACCATATTGTAAAAAGGATCGTATTGGATGTTTATGATTGATTTCATTCTGTGTTTGTTTTGAATTCTGTTAAATTTTTCTGTTTTAAAGCTCTTGTGTAAATTGCCTTGAGATGGCCTGTTTTTATTTCACTAGACTAAATTATATTAAATCCTGCCTACTGGGTCTGGTTCTACTAAGAGATCCTTTATTTTATTCTATATTCACCTGTTATTTTCTACTATAATAAATCTGTGATTCAAGTCATGTGAACAGGATCTGTTGGTCTTTTTAGTAAATGTTGAAATAAGTGGTTTTAAATTGGTTCTTTATAAATAAGCCAAACTGAAGTCAACAGGAGCAGAGTTCTAATATGTGAGGTAGTTTGGTCAAGGATCAGCAAGGTAAACAAAACAAACAGCATCAGCCTCCGGTTCCAGATTCCTCTGAGGATTTTTATTCAGCACTTTTCACTCTGACAACCATCTCCCTGAGCTTCCAAGATCTCAGTGCCTGTATAACCAATTGGCAACACACCTGCTGTTGAGTGGACCAAGCCACAATTAAACAGGTAGAAAACAAACAAAGTCTAAACAGAGAAACAAGAATAAAATGATTAATCTAATTTACAAACTCATCTACATAATGAAACAGTCTGCAAAATAAACAATGTGATAGAAGATAACTCAAAAATGTACTTAAAAAAAAACAAAGCATTACTACAAAGAAACCCCGATTCTGTAAAAAATCAATATTCCAACAAAGTAGTTTCATAAATATAGTTTCAATTGTAATCTGGTTTTCTGTTGGAATGGTGGTTCTTCTACTCCTCTGCAGAAACAGAAATAGGTCTCTGGTGTCTTTTTAGACTGCCAAATGCTTTTTAAAATCAGGTTTTTAAAAAAATGCTGAATGTTGGAACTATAAATCATTACCAGTCTGAAGTTTACATTTTATAACTGCTGCACCTTAAAATGGAAGTGTCTGGAGATTGGACATTTTAGTGTTGGGCTTTCCATTGCAAAATGCATTTTATATACACTATATTGCCAAAAGTATTTGCTCACCCATCCAAATTATTGGAATCAGGTGTTCCAATCACTTCCATGGCCACAGGTGTATAAATTCAAGCACCTAGGCATGCAGACTGTTTTTACAAACATTTGTGAAAGAATGGGTCGCTCTCAGGAGCTCAGTGAATTCCAGCGTGGAACTGTGATAGGATGCCACCTGTGCAACAAATCCAGTCGTGAAATTTCCTCGCTCCTAAATATTCCACAGTCAACTGTCAGCTGTATTATAAGAAAATGGAAGTGTTTGGGAACGACAGCAACTCAGCCACGAAGTGGTAGGCCACGTAAACTGACGGAGCGGGGTCAGCGGATGCTGACGCGCATAGTGCGAAGAGGTCGCCAACTTTCTGCAGAGTCAATCACTACAGACCTCCAAACTTCATGTGGCCTTCAGATTAGCTCAAGAACAGTGCGCAGAGAGCTTCATGGAATGGGTTTCCATGGTCGAGCAGCTGCATCCAAGCCATACATCACCAAGTGCAATGCAAAGCGTCGGATGCGGTGGTGTAAAGCACGCCGCCACTGGACTCTAGAGCAGTGGAGACGCGTTCTCTGGAGTGACGAATCGCGCTTCTCCATCTGGCAATCTGATGGACGGGTCTGGGTTTGGCGGTTGCCAGGAGAACGGTACTTGTCTGACTGCATTGTGCCAAGTGTAAAGTTTGGTGGAGGGGGGATTATGGTGTGGGGTTGTTTTTCAGGAGCTGGGCTTGGCCCCTTAGTTCCAGTGAAAGGAACTCTGAATGCTTCAGCATACCAAGACATTTTGGACAATTCCATGCTCCCAACTTTGTGGGAACAGTTTGGAGCTGGCCCCTTCCTCTTCCAACATGACTGTGCACCAGTGCACAAAGCAAGGTCCATAAAGACATGGATGACAGAGTCTGGTGTGGATGAACTTGACTGGCCTGCACAGAGTCCTGACCTCAACCCGATAGAACACCTTTGGGATGAATTAGAGCGGAGACTGAGAGCCAGGCCTTCTCGTCCAACATCAGTGTGCGACCTCACAAATGCGCTTCTGGAAGAATGGTCAAAAATTCCCATAAACACACTCCTAAACCTTGTGGACAGCCTTCCCAGAAGAGTTGAAGCTGTTCTAGCTGCAAAGGGTGGACCGACGTCATATTGAACCCTATGGATTAGGAACGGGATGTCACTTAAGCTCATATGTGAGTCAAGGCAGGTGAGCAAATACTTTTGGCAATATAGTGTAGATTGAAAAAACAAGAATTCACAAATATGTGAAAGGACCTTTAAAGTCATTTTCAATAATAAAATGCAAAAGTGAAAAATGATGGATATACCATTTTGTAAATAAACTCTTCAAATTATATATTACATAAGAAAAAAAGCATAGCAAATTTTGTCACTTACTGATACCAAAAGTAGTGCATAAGCTCCATAAGCTGTGGAGACACTGGTATTCCTGTCTTCTTAAAGTTCCTATTTATTCGATAATGGTACTTGTATTGTGTTTTTTATCATTAACTATTTTTATTTTATGTATGTATTTATTGGACAATGAGTCCAGAATAAAGTCTATCTATCTATCTATCTATCTGTCTGTCTGTCTGTCTGTCTGTCTGTCTGTCTGTCTGTCTGTCTGTCTGTCTGTCTGTCTGTGTACAATTTTGGGATATAAACTCATCTCACCCTGATTTAAATCAAAGAATGTTGCCTTTCTCTTGCTCCCTGAACTGTGGAGCAACTTCGCAGCATGTTTAATAACCCCAAAGAGAGGTAGGTAATGGGTTTATGTCTAGAAATGGCATATGATTTACTAGGAACCACGTTAAGTACAGCCAGTGCTATAAAACCAGCTACTTACCACCAGAGTTGCCTTCCATGCTGGTTGTAAATTTAGATTCTGTCCGGAAGCATCAAAAATACGGCATTCATTAAAATGTTTGCCATATGTGCGCAGGTGTTTCTGCATGTTGGATGTATTTCCTCCCATGGATGTTATTGCCACTTTGCAATGATTGCAAAGCACCTTGTTGCCATCTTTCTGTTCCTTAAAATGAACCCAAACTTTCTATCACTTTGACCGTACTTGCTTACTGAATGCCGTGCGCGTAACTTGCGTAAAAAAACGTGACGTAAGTCGCGCTGCCCAGCGCTAGGCTCTGGTGCTGCCTGGACTCGATAAGAGAATCGTTAAGCGAGCTGCCAAACGGTGACATGGAATTGGAACACACGGAACCGGTTCTGAACAGGAACAGGTTTTCAATTCCCATCCCTAGTGATCCTGAGTCTTTTAGACATGAAATAAGTACCAGTCTGTGAGTGAAAATCTATGATGATGGTAAAAGTCATGTTGTGCATCTCCAGCTGCTTGAATGTGCATACCTGATTAATAATGGTAAGAATTCTACAGTGGGATGCTAAACAAGACTTTCAGGTATGGTTAATATGATAAGGAATATAGTTCTAATGACATTATTTAAAATTAACGTGTATTTTCTTAACTCTTTGTTTTCTTTGCATGGTTTTCCCCCTCATCATCTAATACTAAATGTAGGTTAGTTTTGGTTCTGATAATATAAGTAGCAGTGATGGGAGTGTGATATCCTACGGTGGCTGTAGCAATCATCACACCAGGTTGTTTCTTTGGCTTCATGCCCTTTATTTCCTTATATTCACAGAACAACCGAACATGCCTCTAGACGTAGCGGGCGCTCTCTCTCTACTGCCTGTTTCCCCACAGTCCTGCCTAAACATAGGTAGCTGGCTCCCCCTAGAGGCGTTAACTAGAATTGTTTAAGATAGTCAGTATATCTACCACATCCCTCCCCTCTAGATTAAACTACTTAATTACTTTTAATAGCCCTTTATACAAGACATTTTTTACTTATTACCCTGGAGCCCTTAATTAACTCTTAACTAGCAGTTACTTATAACTTTTTCAACACATGTGTCATACAATTTTTTGTTCTTTTTTTTTTTTTACATCAAACACATAACTCTCTAACTTGGGATTCGGGTGGACTACCTCCTCCCAGTGAAGTTCCAGGACGCATTCTAGTCCTGTGGCTGGGGAACTCACTACTAACTATGTATATAGTCTTTTAAGTACTCTGGAGTTCTTCGGGTTCGCCGAGATCTTCGCAAAGCTGGTGAGTCAACTGCAGGTGAAGACTCAGGCTCCTCCACAGTTGCTTCTGCTGCAGTGCTGCGATCAGTAGAATCCTTAGAGATGGCTACCTAAGGTGCTACCTGAAGTGGTGGTTCCGCGACATCGTCTTCAAGCGAGGTGTCAGTTAACACTTCTGATGTCGACACCGGTGGGGTGGAGCTTCTGCCGCGTACTTGGTCGATGTGTCTTCTCACAACTTGTCCATTACCTAAGGTAACTTGGAATGACACAGGGCCTGTTTTCTCTGTTATTTCTCCCGGTACCCAGGCTGGTCCTGAGCCAAAGTTGCGGGTGTAGACCAAGTCTCCTTCTCCAAGTATTCTCACTCGAGCATGCATGTCATGATAACTTTTTTGTTTCTCTTGTTTATCATGTACTCTATTTCTAAAGTCTGGATGAATTAAGTCAAGAGTTGACCTCAACTTCCTACCACACAACAACTCAGCTGGTGATTTGCCAGTAGTAGATTGGGGTGTTATGCGATAGCTGAACAGAGCTCGGGACATTTTAGTTTCCATAGAGTCTCCTGCCATCTTCTTCATGAGTGACTTGAACGTCTGTACAGCCCTCTCAGCTAAGCCATTAGAAGAGGGATGGTAGGGCGCCGTCATGATGTGACGTATGCCGTTCTTTTCAGCAAACTCTTGGAATTGTTCACTCGTAAAACAGGTACCATTATCTGACACTATGATTTCTGGTATTCCATGTTGACTGAAACTCTTTCTAAGACATTCAATGGTAACTGTAGATGTAGAGCTACTCACAGAATATGCATCGATCCACTTTGAGTATGCATCCACTAGAATCAGGAACATTCTTCCCATCCATGGACCCGCATAATCAATGTGGATTCTCCTCCATGGTTTATCAGGAACTTCCAAAGGATGTAATGGGGCCACTGGAGGACTGTTCCGGTTTTCCTGGCATGTCGTACACGCCTTCACAAGCTTTTCCACCTCTGCATCGATGTTTGGCCACCACATGTAACTTCTGGCCAACCCTTTCATTCGGGTGATGCCTGGGTGTGCTTGGTGTAGTTGCTTCAGTAAAGCATTGCGTCCAGGTGGTGGAACCACAACGCGTCCTCCCCACAGGATACATCCTTCTTGGGTGCTGAGCTCATCCTGGCGTCGGGCGTATGGAATGAACTCGGGACTGTTCACCTTTGGCCAGCCTCTCAAGATGTATTCACGCACTCTTGCTAGCACAGGGTCTTTGTCTGTCCACTTCTTAATTTGCTGTGCGTTCACCAGTGGCACGCCAATGTCCTCAAACAACAGCACTCTCTCCTCCTCCTCAGGTGTGTTTTCACTTCCTCTATCCAAAGGTAGCCTACTTAGTGCATCAGCGTTCGTATGGTCCCTACCCACCTTGTAGATGATGGTGTATTCATACGCTGCTAATGTGACTGCCCATCTCTGAATCCTAGGAGATGTCATCTGGGGTATGGCTTTCATCTCACTAAAAAGTGAAATTAGTGGCTTGTGATCAGTCACTATTGTGAACTGCCTCCCAAACAGGTATTTATGGATTTTTTTTACTCCGAAAACTACAGCAAGGCCTTCCTTGTCCAACTGGGAGTAGTTCTTTTCAGCTGCACTAAGAGTTCTGGAGACAAACCCTATGGGTCTTTCTGAGCCATCCGCCATACGATGAGAGAGTACAGCTCCCACACCGTAGGGCGATGCGTCGAACGCTAAGATGAGAGGTTTGTTTGAGTCATAGTGTACTAACACACTACAGGACTGAAGTAGTACTTTGGACTCTTCAAATGCTTTCTGCTGCTTGGGCCCCCAGGACCATTTTTCTTCTTTCTTCAGCAGGGTATGTAGCGGTGCCAGCAGCGTGGAGAGCTTTGGGAGGAACCTATGGTAATAGTTCAACAAGCCCAGATAAGCTTTTAACTCCGTAACATTTTGTGGCTCAGGTGCCTCTGCAATGGCTTCCACTTTCTCTGTCAGAGGGCGTAAACCACTAGCATTGATCTTGTGGCCTAGGAACGTCACCTCTTTTCCCATGAACTCACACTTGCTTCTTTTCAACCTTAGGCCGCTTTTCTCCAATCTTGGAAGTACTTCTTCCACTGTTTTCAGGTGTTCTTGTTCATTTGGTCCTGTACAAAGTATGTCATCCAAATAAATGGCAACATTTGGAATCCCACCTAAGATGCCCTCCATAGTTCTCTGGAATATAGCAGGACTGGAAGCTACTCCAAATGGTAAGCATGTGTAGGTATACAAGCCTTTGTGTGTATTAATCATTACATACTTCCTGGACTCTTCATCTAATACGATCTGTTGGTATGCATGACTCATGTCTAATTTTGTGAAGTGCTGCCCCCAGTTTAGCTGTGCGAAAAGGTCCTCCACTTTGGGAATTGGATACTGATCCACCCGTGATGCTCTATTGACAGTGAGTTTGTAATCCCCACAGATTCTAATGGAGCCATCCGGTTTCCGCACTGGGACTATGGGCGCCGCCCACTCAGCAACCTGCACTGGCTCGATTATTTTGTCTTCCAGGAGCCTCTGTAGCTCGCTTTCAACCATTGGTTTGACTGCATAAGGTACCGGTCTGGGTTTGAAGAATCGTGGTTGGGCCTCCTTTTCCACATTAATCTTCGCTGTGACCCCTTTTAGCTGTCCTAACCCTTCTTTGAACACCTCTGCATGTCTTTCGAGGATCCCCTCGAGCTGCAACTTGGGCTGGAATTCTACCTTATTCACCAACTGATCCAACATGGCTAACTCTTTTATCCAGTTTCGCCCTAGTAGATTTGGTCCTTCACCCCCCACTACTACTACAGGCAAGGTCTTTTCTTTGTTTTCATGTTGCACTTTCACTTGTGTCATGCCCAGCACTCCTAACTTCTCTCCTGTGTATGTTTTTAGTTTTAGCGAGCAGGGCTTTAATTCTGCAGTGTCTGTTTTCTTCCACAGTTGTGTGTACTGCTGTTTGCTTAGTATGGTTACTCCACAGCCAGTGTCAATTTCAAACGTTACTTGCATTCCGTTTAGATTTATGGTGCGTGTGATGGGCGCGACCTTGGTCAGCTCTTCTGACATGCTGTAAATTGTGTGAAAACTTGTGTCCTCTGTATCACTTTCTCCCTCCCCTCTAAGTTGATTCGCTCTCTGTTCCTTTCCTGGGCCCCTGCTTTCTCCTTTGTGCCCTCTGAACGTTGCCTTCTGCACATGTAAATTGCCCGCCTTCGATCTACAAGCTTTCTTAATGTGGCCCCTCTTGCCACAATTATGACACAGTTCAGTGGCAAACTTGCATTCAGCGGCATTGTGCTGGCCTTTGCAGCGATAACAACTAGGGAATTTGCGTTGCCTTTTTTCAGCAGATACTTTGTGGACACTTACTTGAGTCTTTGGTACACGTGCATGCAGCGCAGAGTCCTCGACTAGCTTCCCCTGCATTTCTTTTACATCTTTCGAAGCTGATTCCATCGCCTGGCATAAATCCAAAGCCTTCTCAAAAGTTAATTTTGTTTCAGATAAAAGTCGCCTTTGCATTCGGTCATCATTTACTCCACACACCAATCTGTCCCGTAACATTTCTGACAGTGCATCTTTGTAGTCACAATGTAGGGCTAATTTCCTCAATTCAGCCACATACTCAGCTATTGACTCGCTGCTCTTCCGTATGCGTGAACTAAATTTAAATCTTTGCACAATTTCACTTGGTGTGGGGTTGAAGTGCTTTTTCAGCTCAGCAGTGAGCTGATCATACGTTTTTGCTTTTGGTAATTCAGGACTGACTAAATTCCTCAGCAAGCTATAAGTAGTTGCACCCACACTACTTAAAAGCACAGCTTTCCGTCTTTCTGGCTCCTTAATATCATTTGCTTCAAAGAAAAAGTCCAGCATTTCACTATACTCTTCCCAAGACTGAGTTGCATTATCAAAAGGGGTTACCGATCCGATCACAGCTGCCATCTTTACTTGCCGCGGTGGAGGTGCTGGTGGAGCCTGGTGCGGCAAGGAAACGTTGTTTTCCTCCTCAGCCTCGGCGCTGTTGAATTCACTGGAGCTCGCCTCTCCTTGACTCATCTGGGAAATTCCAATCCTTGAAATCCTCGTCGCCAATTGTGTGATATCCTACGGTGGCTGTAGCAATCATCACACCAGGTTGTTTCTTTGGCTTCGTGCCCTTTATTTCCTTATATTCACAGAACAACCGAACATGCCTCTAGACGTAGCGGGCGCTCTCTCTCTACTGCCTGTTTCCCCACAGTCCTGCCTAAACATAGGTAGCTGGCTCCCCCTAGAGGCGTTAACTAGAATTGTTTAAGATAGTCAGTATATCTACCACAGGAGTAACGGTGTTACTAACACCGTTACTTTTTTTAGTAACGAGGTAATCTAACTAATTACTTTGACTGCAACTATAACGCAGTTAGCGTTGCCGATACCCTGTTACTCAGGTCGCACAATTAACCTTGATTTCGTGGTAGGACTGTATAGTGAGATTAAGTCTGTCAGTTGGGTAGGTGGGTGTTTCCGATGGCGGGTGTTAACGTACCACTGCATGAAAAGTGAGATTTTCGTCCCCGTAAACCCCCGTAAACTCCCGCAGATCTGCCTGATTTTCGTCAGTTTCCGACAATTTGCAACCCGTGCTTGTCCGCGTTTGTCGTGCCACAAATTGTCGGAAACGGACTCTGACGTATGTGGAGAGCGATCAGCTGTACTAATGGCCCTAATTAGCATATGAATGCAGCAAACCCGCGCGGCTGGCCAGGTCTGGCTTGAATAACCTACTCAGTATTGGCTGAAACCACTATTCTCAAACAAATGAAATCGCTCGTGATTGGCAGCAAAACCACACGTGGCCACGCCAGGCTTTAATTTTCTTACTGAGTATTGGACGGAACCACTTCTTTTTAAACAAGTAAAGTCGCTCGTGATTGGTTGGCATATATATATTTACATATATATATTTATTCATATATATATATATATATATTTATTCATTCATATATATATATATATTCATATATTCATATATATATATTCATATATTTATTCATTCATATATTTATTCATTCATATGCTGTGTATTTATGTTATCCTACACTACTACACAATTATTATGTTACCATCAAGGACATGAATTAATTTATACAGGAAATGAAGATTTGCCAGGAAGCTGTTTATGCAAAGAAAGAGCTTTATTAAAACACACACACAACTATATACAACGCATATCCAAACACATGCGTATCTAAAAATTACAACTCCGTGAACGGTCCGTTTGCTTCCTCGGGGTTGGAGGTAACAGGCAGCATTCCCTCCGAGGCAGGTCCGATGTGCAGACGCATACTGTGCGTGGCCCTGTACTTCGGCATCGCTTCTAACCGGGACTGCAGCTTAACACAGAGTTCAGTGAGATCCGGCCTACGAAATGGCGGCGACCGTACAATCCATCCAGAGACACCGCCGACGACGCCATCTTCTTCGTCGGACATGAGGTCGACGGTGGCGGACTTACAGAGTTCCACTTCCTCATCTGATAGCACACTCTGCCTCGCCTTCAGCAGCTGAAAAAAAAACAATGAATCAGCGCACTGCATATGGACACAACACATCTATCAATGCACCTGAAAAATAGTCACCAAATAAAGTCTTACCCTCTTTCTTCTGGCCCGACTCCGAGCAGATAGCCTCAGCACGCAGCGTGCTGGCTAGCAGCGTGTATCTGAAGCTCCTGCATACCGTCTCATAATACGTCTTACAGGCAGCTGGAAAACAATTAAATGAGAGTGGTATGAATAAAAAAAAAAAAATCAAACGCAAGTCACAGTAACAAGGAAGGAGAAAACATTAAAACAAGTCACTTACACACAATGTCGTCTTTATCAACATCGTGCAAATCCGAGCAAATAGGAGGTCACCGCCTCATTGTGAGGCGACTGTAGTCTGTGAAAAAAAAAAAAAAAGTACAGCTCTGGTCGGTATCCATCCGTATCCATGTCCTTTTACCGCTGAATGAAAGCATATTCTTTAAACCTTACCCCTGCCCCGGTTCATAGCGCCTGCAATTAGTCTCCGAGTTGTTAAGACGGCATAATGCTTCCTGTGAATCACAAAAAATACACTTTAATAAAGCTTTAGGCTAGGCTGCTTTTAGCTTACCTAGCTAGGCTAGGTTGTCTTTAGCTTGCCTAGCTAAGCTAGGCTGCTTTTAGCATAGCTACCAGTAATCGAACATATATTTACCGCTAGCGTGGCGTTGTGCACCCGTCTTCTCTTCCTCGAGTTCGTATATCCCGCAAAGTTGCTCGACTGCAGATAGGGTGGCCAGATGTCCGGCTTTAGGGCGGACAGTCCGGATTTTCATTGCACTGTCCGGCGTCCGGCGCTGCACCCAGCCGGACATGTATTTGTCCTCCTTTACCCCCAGATTCCACATACTCCGTCAGCGCTCCGCCCCGCTCACGTACGGAGTACTTGTCTGTCATGTAAATCAATGAGAGCTGTTCCACATCCTCCGCTCGTCACCGCCCACGTACGTCTTCTCCGTCCTTCACCGTCAAAATACGGAGCTGAGCTATTTTTTGCTCCCCTCCGGTCCGTCCAGATCAAGACCCGCTATTGCAATCGCACCAAACAGAAAAAAGAATGTAGAGAAGACCCGGTTTGTCAAATTAAATTATAGTAAAAACAGATCGGTATCTAGAAATTAGAGCATAGTTTGTATATATTCCCAAAAACTAAGAGCAATTAATTAAATAATTGGATGCAGACTATTGGTGCTTCAACAGACCAGGAAGAAGTTGTGAGATTCTAGAGTGAATCTCACAACTTTAAAAGAAAATTCTTATTGCAGGAATGGATGAAGAGATGATGAGTTTGGAAGCAGAGAATAAACAGAGTTCATACAAACTATGTATGATCCTAGTTATCCCTGTTACAAAAATCGGCAACAGAAAGAAAATATTTGGGCAGAAACTGAACATCTGCTGGATGATGATGGGGATTTTTTTAATATGTCAGATTCAATTAAGCGTTCACAGGTTTTATACTGGAATGAGGAGCTCTAATTTAATGCTCTTTTAATGCTATTAGAAATAATTTTAATGCCATCAACAAGTATCATGTACACAAGTTATTAGTTTACATGAAATAAGGAGCTGTAAGCACAGTTCCATGACTCAAGTTTATATATATATATATATATATATATATATATATATATATATATATATATATATATATATATATATATATAGATAGATAGATAGATAGATAGATAGATAGATATGGATAGATAGATATATAGATAGATATGGATAGATAGAGAACATGGTGAAATCATCTTTACTCTCGACAGGCTGCAGCCATGTCATGAATTCCTCTTTTCCAGCCACTTTTTGCAGTTTGCATCGTCCTATTCTCTAGCTCTTTCTCGAGCTTCTTTTCCAAACAACTGCTTTATGATCAATTGCAGCAGTTCTGCGCAAATTAATTGTGTTAAAAAAATGGTCACTTTTTAAACACCACAATGTATTAAATAAATACAAATGCTGGGAACCAATTCTTTTTTACATTTCTTTAATATTTTGTTCTATTCAGCTACACAAGCATCCTCTTTAAACTACTAAGAATTGTGCTATAAATGTGACTTTACCCGATTCTTATGTACACCTTAGTAATTTATTGATATGCCGCACAATGTCCTCCTTTTTGGTGCTATAGAAATGGCCACCCTAACTGCAGAGCCGCCATCTTGTCCTCTATGGACTACAACCTGGAGTGCATCGAATTCTCCAGCTGAGTGAGGCGCTCATTCATGTCGGCAGTATGTTGGGCAAGCTGACGAGACAGTCCGCTGATAGCAATCAGCAGTTTCTTCTCGTCAGTCTGCGGGCTGGCCGAAAGTTGTGGACTAAGAGCAGTTGGAGGCGAGTTGAACGCGAGACGTCGTGCAGCCATTGTTCACGTAACAACAAAATACAAACACGGTAACTGGAGATGAAGCTCTTCTGAGTATAGTAACACAAACATGTCTGCTAATATGCTGGTCTCGCGAGAAGTCGTAGTGCACAAAAGCTCACACGTGATTGGACGATGGGGCCGAAGGCTCATCAG